GGGGATTTATTAAGCAATTATGTATTGTTTGCCCTGTAGTAGCAGTATATACAGTATATGTATTACATATACTGTATATACTGCTACTACAGTGCAGACAATACATAATACCATGAATGGATTAAATGATCTGTATGTAGCCCTGTACTAGGGATCATTTAACCCATTCATGTTAGCAGAGGATCATTGTAAATGTATTGTTGCAGGCACTCTATATGTACATGTACTATATACTACATATAGAATGCACTGAACAATAGATTTACAATTATCCTCTGCTAATATGAATGGGTTAAATGATCCGTAGTACATGATATGTAGCCCTGTACTACGGATCATTTAACCCATTCATGTTAGCAGTGCAGAATTGTATATCTATATGTACTGTACATATACAGCACAAATGTCCCGTACATTGCAGCATTAGATTTACAATAATCCCCTGCTAACATGAATGGGTTAAATGATCCTTAGTGCAACTACATGTTATGTACTATGGATCATGATTTAACCTATTCATGTTAGCAGGGGATAATTGTAACTCTATTACTGCAGTGTACGGGACGTATGTGCTGTATATGTATTATGGATCATGATTTAACCTATTCATGTTAGCAGGGCAGAATTGTGAGCGCCTCCCACAAGCTGAGCACCGAGATGCGATGCAGCGATCCTGCCCAGCGCCGACTACAAGAGGCACCGCATGAGGCTACGGGGATCGGAGTGAAACTGTGAGTAAGGGAAGCTGGGACGGGGCTGGCTGTAAATCTATTGCTATAGTGTACTGGACGTGTGTAATGTATATGTAGTACATATATACAGCGCACACCTCCACTACACTCCAGCAATAGAGTTACAATTCTCCACTGCTAACATGAATAGGTTAAACCATGATCCATAGTACATAACATGTAGTTGTACTATGGATCATTTAAAGTCACCTGTCCCTTTAAGAAAAAGTATCGGTAATTGGTATCGGCAAGTACATGAGGGGATGTACTTGTACTTGGGCCTGAAAAAGTGGCATCGGGACATCCCTAGAGCCACCCTTGTGTGTACTAGTAAGCTCCGTGTGCCTCTACAAATACACAGGCGTAGCAAGGCAATCCACTCTCCTGCTCCCCACTACTCCTTCCTTCCTCTCTTCTACAAGCTGGAGCCAGCTATTCTGAAACATGGTGACTATGTTTGGGGGGAAAAATAAATACTTTGCAGGACAATGTGTTTGATCTGGATCCTTTCATGAAAAGATTGCGAGTCTAATACTGCACTAATTATAGTAATCCAGGAAATAAAATAGATTTGGTGGCTAAATAGATGCAGCTGCTAAAGCTTTCCTAAGCACAGATCATTCTGCAGCAGCCCTCTAATGCTGTTACTAAACAGGGCTGAGCAGCATATCCGCTAAACAAGCCCATGCCGAATGATGCCCATATTGACAGGCTGTCCCAGGGAGTGCACGGCTCTGTTGTCAGCAGTCATGTAGCTGTGATCCCCTCCATGTACTTCGGCTGCCTCCCACCCTGGGAAGAGAACTGGTGGATGCATGCATGCTGTCACCGCTCTCCTCCAATCACAGCGCTGGTCCTCTCCGCTCGGCCAGCTAGTGGCAGCATCCGCTTTACTTGTCCTCCGACAACAAGTAGCTCATCGCGGCATTGCCTTTAAGGCTCGGCCACACCTCCCAGATTGGTGCAGAGACGGTGCCTGGACGGGTTTATCTGCTCTGGGGATTCCATCATCTTCCCCCCGTGGTCGCTCCTCTCCCACCCAGACCAGTGATCTCCCGGGGAAGCCCTATCTGGGGACAGGCAGGATGGTGTCCTGGATCATCTCCAGACTTGTGGTGTAAGTATCATGGCAGAGTGTGTGTAGGTGATTTACATGTGCCGGGGCTCCTCCATCCCAGCCTGATGCTGATGTACATAGAGGAGCTCCTACTGCCATCACATGCTGAATACCTGGATGTCTAGCGATGTCAACAGATAGATACGGCCTTTAGTGTGTGTAGGGGCCCTCTTCTGATTATATGACAGGCCAGTGTGCTGCTATGCTACAGATGGCAGGTGGAATGAGGATGATGATGATGAATTGTATAATATGTAGCTAATAATAAGCACAATCTCTTCCTCTTAGCATTAGATGATTCATGTAGGTACCAATGTTTTCATTACCTCTGCCATTTGTCTGACCTTCATATTAAATGATCCATGCCAGGATGATGACAAGGTGTGAAGTGCAGGAGCCCAGAACACAAGGTCACATACATAACTATATCAGGGGTAGGAAACCAGCTGTGGTGGAACTACACATTTCATCATGTCTGTGGCTGCCAGAGTCTTGCAATGGGTAATTGGACTTGTAGTTCAACAACAGCTGGAGTGTCGAGGTTACCTACCCCTTAACATTCACACACTTCTCCCATCCCACCCCAACCTGCTTCCTCAGTCCCAGACCGACCCATACCTCCGAAAAAAGCGGAAAACAGGATAGCTGTAGGGCTTCTGGCACTGTTGGCACGTGGCTTTCTTTGCCTGCACATTCTAAGGCCCCTAGTCAGTCGGGTGCCTTGCAGGATACCGGCTTGCTCCTTGGCAACGAAAGATATGGTTGGTGGGTGGCCTACACTGCATACTTTGCCGAGAGTGTCTAAGCTCTCGAGTCAGTGTCCTGCAAGGTACCTGACTGATTCCATGCAACCATTGATGTCATCCATCACTAAAGACAGCCACAGTTTAAGATTGGCCACCGACCGCGTCAGTAGCCATGGATGACATCTTCGGTTGCTAAGACTCATTTGGGTGCCTTGCAGGACGCCTGCTGGCTCCCTTTCTACAGTGGAATTGGACACCCAAAGGCTGTGGTAAATTTTTAGATCCATTTTGCTGCGGCACCCCAGTTGAGAATCCCTGGCTTAGAGTTCCTCTCAGGACAAGAAGTAAGGGGAAGTCTTCCTGTTCTGGAGACAACTGTCGAAAGTTGGCCCTACACCAGTAGAGTTGTGTTTGCAAAAAATGTGTTTTCAAAACGTTTGTTTGATTTTGGGGTCAAATTGACAATTGTTTTGGACCATAATGATGGAAAAAATTGAAGGAGCTCTTAGCAACCTGGGAGGCTGTGGCAACCCAATCTGCCACCCCACAACCACCTCAGACTGCCTCATTATAGGAATGGCCACGCATAGAGCACAGGGAGTTATCAGTTCACAAGATTTCAGGCAGGATTAGCTGTTTTTTTTTGCACCTATTGAACACATACTGTACAGTAAAACATTTTTAATGCTATACGTAACAGCCAAAAAGTGAGCAAATATAAGTCCACATTGTATTTAGTTGCTTGCCTGGAGTTCAGACCTTTAAATACCTCACCAATAGCTATGGAAACCAGTTTGTGGCTTTCCAGGTGCTTCTGGATTGGTGAAAGGGTGCAGCATGCATGATTTAGATGGACATACATTCATTTTCCACTTTCCAGACAAATTGGTAACACATTAGACCTAAATTACAACATATCATGGCTATAAAACACTTCTAAGCTCTGTCAGCCATTGTATGTACAATTCATGAAAATGTCTTGGACTTCAGGCTTTATTTGAACAAAATGTCATATGGTCATGTTTTGTTGGTACATGTCCAAGGCTAAAACTGTGAAAACTACATTGTCTAGTATCCTCAAACCTTTATTATATTGTATGTTGTCCGCATTAAACGTCTGCTTTGTTGGTTACATCGAATTTGCTGACTAAAACACTGCTGATTGTATATTTGTGTTAATTATCAATACAAGCTGTCAAGCAAAATGAACTGTTATGCCAAATCAAATAACAAGCCCTGAACAGTATTGTCTATTAAATACCTATAGATTGACTGGCCAGGAATACAGTATAGTAGGATACTGTATGCTGATTTCATTTCATTCATTTTATGTTTACACACTCATGAATTTCATATTTCTGTAGTTTTTTTTTTAACATTAGTAAACTCCACGTTCAGCCTCGTTTACTTGTACACGAGGCTGAATTTATACATATAAAGGAGTTAATCTGTTGTGTTAAAAGCTGATAGTCTGCTGAAAAGCTTTTGTCTAGTTAGCAGAAATATTTGCTTAATCGGGGAAGCTAATCTGTTTATTATTTCAGTGACAGAGGAGCGATTAAGGCTGATATCTCCTTGTCTAATACACATGTTCTTTATTAAAGTAGACCTGAACTCATAAAGTAAAGCGTTGCTATGATATAGGGAACATCTAGAAATGTTAATTGTGCCTAAACAGTAACCTTTTTATTAGTATTTGTTTTAAATTCCTACTAAAAAAATAGCAGTTCACTTCCTGGTATGTGGGTGTGCCTAGGCACTCCTATGGCTACAGCCTCAAAGCTGTACATCTGTATGAACGGCACCGCTGCCAGTGACTGCTAGTCTCACTGGATATGGTGGTGTCACTGTTGTACTGCTCACTGTGCTCCTTCCTGGAGTGTCTCTGAAGGTTCTCATTCATCCAGTTCATGGTATATCTGATAAAAAAAAAAAAAAAATCAAGGCAACTGGACTTGCTGTATTTTTTTTAAGACATTTTGCTGGTCATCCGACTGGCTTGCTCAATTCTCAATTCTGAAGATGACCAGTGAAACGTCTTCAAGAAAAATACAGCAAGTCTGGTTGTCTTGATTTATTTTATACAGATATCCTTGCCGGAGTGCAATCTGTAAATGGGGAGCTGCACTGCATGCAACCCCTGCCTCTGCATTATTCATTTTGTGGCTATATGCTTTGTATACCTCTCCTGCATTCAGGTACCTTAACTATTAACAAAAATGTATCTTATTTGTGTATCACTCGGCTGTAGATCCTCAAATCATCTCTGAATTGGTGCTGACACTGTTCTTCCTTCTGGAGGGTGGTGGCTACTGTTCCCCATGGTCCCTGTGTGTGTTGTAATGTAGTCACCGCTCCAAGATCACTCCTGTAATGGACTAAATGTGAGATTATAGTCCATTGTGGGAGCAAACTTGGAGTGGTGGCTACTTTACAACACACACAGTGACCATGGGGAACAAAAGTAGCCACCCTCCAGAAGGCAGGACAATGTCAGTCCCAATTCAGAGATGATTTGAGGATCTACAGCCGAGCGATACACAAATAAGATACATGTTTGGTAATGGTTAAGGTACTTGAATGCATTTTTACGATTTAACTCCTGAGTTTATTGTCACTTTAATTACTTCCCCCCAGTTATCAGATCTCTAGCCATCAGGGGCAGCTCTGACATCAGGTAACAAAACCCTAATCCTCTATGAAGATGGGTACTGTTACACATATACACAGTGCAGAACAAGGCATAGTAAGTCAGTAATGGGGAAAAGATCAGCCCCAGTAAGCCCATAGGCAGTACTGGTAACTAGTCCTTTGCCCTCCTCTTGCCTTTTAGGGTACAACTCCCACAGTTCAGGTCTTTAAATCAGACCTCTCTCCTGTATAAAACAGTGCAAAGCGCAGACTGTCACTTTGGCGGAGAATTGGCGGTGGAGCTAAAAGCCTTAGGGTCATATTGCAGAGTTTAAACAGCACTTTCTCCTATCTGATAGAAAAGACCTTCAATAGTGCTAATATTTAAAGAAATTGGGTATAATTCGATTTTTTCAACATACATAATTACTTGAAGTTGAAGTTAAGGCAAACTATTTGTTTATCTGTAGTAACCCTTACCTCTAATCAATATGCCTTACAATTTACATGATTACCCTCTAAATCTGAATGATAGTTCCTATAGGCCAGTGGTTCTCAACCTGGGGGTCGGGACCCCTTCGGGGGTCGAATGACGATTTGCCAGGGGTCGCCTAGGGGCTTCCGGCCACCCAGGAGAGAAGCACTTTCTCTGCTCTTTTTTTTTTCTGACATCGGTCCCGCCGTCAGTCAGAAATATTTTTTTTCTCATCGAGCAGACTAAACCTTTCCAGGAGAAAGTTTTTTTTGTTTTTTTTTCCGACAGGGTTAAAAGTAAACCTGCCGCTCCGTGTGCACAGTGAGAGGGGATAGCAGTCTTCCCCTCTCACCTGTCACAGAAGTTCCAGCACAGTGCTGTGCTAGAACTCCTGTATTGGAGGTGAGAGAGTCAATAAAGAGAACGTCTCACCTCCAATTGCTATTACACAGGAGCTTGTTACATCTGTGTGATAGCAATGAAGTTAAGTGGAAAAAAAAATAGATAAAATGATTAAAGAAATAAAAATAAAAGAATTCAAAAAATAAAAAAGCGATTAAAAATAAATAAGAAACAAATTATTAAAAAATAAGAAAATTATAAAAAATAAACAATAATAAGGTGAGAGTCCTCCTCAGCCCTCTCCTAGCGCAGCAGTGTCAGTTCTCCCGCCACGCCGCCAGATGTCGCTGCAGCAGCCGCGTCATCCCTAAATTTTATCGTTGGGGGTCACCACAACTTGGCACATGTTACCAAGGGGTCCCGGCCCTAGAAAGGTTGAGAACCACTGCTATAGGCAGTAGTGGTGACACCATAATCAATGGCTTCTTCTCATTGCCAACACGGCTCACAGTGTGCACATGAGGTAAAGTCCTTCAGTGGATAATCACCTCTCCACCACTAAGGGTCTGTTCACACTAGTCCGTCTGCTAAAACGCTGCATTTTAGCGGGTAGGCTAGTACGTTGTGGCAGCTCTGGCAGTGTGCGATACTGCGATAGATGTGCGGTAGATGTGCGAACAGCTGTCACTGTTTAATTTTTGTTTTACTTTAAAGGGAGTGTGCAATGTGTAGACCTCATTCAGGTCCCCGCATAGCAGCATAGTGTGTTGAGCTGACATGCAGTGGCCTGAGGTGGCATTCAGTGCTCTGTGAAAAACAAGCACCTTTCATCACACCGGCGTTCTGGTGTAAACAGGGCAGAAAGACAACAATTGTATTCTATGTGTCCTAGCGGTGACCTGCATTGATCTGGTGCTGTAAAATGCAGGTCACCACTGTATGTGTGAATGTGCTCTAATAGTGTTTTCCTGCATCATGCCTAGTGAGTGTTTTTCAGAGAAAATCTCCTCCCAGTGTCATATTAATACATGAGCACGTTACCAATCTGATCATTTGCAGGGATCCCTCTGGTTCTGTGTCCTGATTTTAGAAGATGATTCTTTATTGGTGGGTCCGCCTATAAGTGAAGGTTTTTCATTTTTTTTACATGCCTGTATTTTGGTGCCTTGACTTCCGCTTGAAAGTATATTCAAAAATGTTGTTTTTCATATAGTAAAGAATGGACAAAACCCCTGGTCACTTTAATTTTCTGACAACTCATAATTTTGGATTTTTCCTCACTTCCAGTCCTGGTGACAATGGGACAAAAATACAGAATGCAGTGGAGACCGAGACAGCAATATAATGTGACAGGTGTTCGGATCCTTCACTGCATTATTTAAAATGTTACAGTTTAAGCTTATTTACTCACACAACAGGTAACAATATAAAAAGAGAAGTTATGCTTTGTTGTGTGCAGAAAAGAGTGCCAGTGTGATGTTAAAGTTTCCCCCTATGAATAAAATTGACTATGCAGTCAAGGGGCCCCAGAAGGTTACAAAAAAATGCAGTTTTGAAATATGTTGCCTAATGTTAACGCCACTGCTTAATGTATTTGCCATACCTGTAGACCAGGGGCGGGCAACTCCGGTCTTCCAGCTGCTGTGGAACTACAGGTCCCATGATGCATTGCAAGACTGACAGTTGTGGGCATGACTCCCAAAGACAGAGACCTGTTGGGATTTGTAATTAACGCACAGTCGGAGGGTTGGAGTTGCCCACCCTTGCTGTAGACTATTTGCAGCATCCCCAAAACCTGTACAAAAAACTCCCATTTTTCTCATCCCCTGTCACACTTTGTTGCTAGGACGTACTGAGCTCAGCCATTGCTGCTACAAGGGGAGAGAAAGTGCACTGCACATGTGTGGCTTTTCAACAAAAGCACAAGGAGAGCACTCGCTCCTGTGATTCTGAGGGCGAGTGTTAAATGTACAGTGAGTTCAGCAATGCTGCAGTGTTACAGAGTGCTTTGTGTATGAGAGGAGATTTGAATTAGGAAGCGCCCTCGCACCATTGATGCTAGTGGGGAACGTCCAGTGACTATAGCTTCCTAGCCACAGGATGGTAGTTTTATGGCCAGACTTCTGGAGGATGTAGATGGCCTACACATGTTGCAGGTATATAAGCTACATAGTTTTGTATTACCTACCTGCATAGGCAGTTTTCTTTCCATGGAGAACTTAGCTTTTAAATCCTAGTTTACATATGACCTTTGTGTTTTTCTAGTTGATGGAATGACGCATGTTCTCTTAGTAAACATTTACTTTTCCAAGCCTTTAATGTTTTGCAATGAAAAGTGGTGAAATTGCATATTCAGGCATTGTGTATTATATTGTGAGGACTGTTACTGTTACACTGTGTTTTAATTATATCATGATACTTATTTTATTTCTTAGGCTGCTGTTTGGTACTTTATATCCAGCATATTCATCATACAAAGCTGTGAAGACAAAAAATGTGAAAGAATATGTAAGTTCCTCTTAGTTCCTTTAGTTATTTGCAAGCTCAAATGACAATTAAAAGATGACAGTGGGAAATATTACTAGGGATGCACATACTGTATATGCATAGGGATCACTGGGAAATTTGCTCTGTAAATCCTTTATGGACATTCACCCAAGTTAAACTGGTCCACATTCACCCTGGGTTCCACAATCACTTGCATCCTGTTTACAATAGGATGAACGTGGGCCCGGAGAATGCAGCAGCCAGTGAACAGCTGTCAAATCTCACTTTTACAGTAGAACTAAAGAATAGTGTTTACCCTGCAGGTGACTCTGTTGAGCTCTCCATGGTGCTGAAACTGTGCATTACATATACAGTACACAGTTTTTTTTACCAGGGGAGCTTAAAGTGACATTAAACCCTCAGATTTTTTTACATAAAACAATAGTGTACTGTGTGCCTTACTGTAATCCATGGTTTTTTTCCCTTCTCTTTGCTGCTCTTCCTTTTAAATCTGTATCTGTTCTCATGCTGGGCAGAACTTCTGTTTTGCAGCAGACTGCCTTGTCTCTGAAATGGATACATGGTGTCTGTGTGTAGGTTTGCAACCTGAGCCAGCACTACAGGAAGAGGCAGTCAGCTGCAAAGGGAAGTTCTCCCCAAGCATGAGAAGAGATAAGGATTTAAAAGGAAGAACAGCAAAGAGAAGGGAAACAACCATGGATTACAGTAAGGCACACATTACAGTATTGGTTTATGTTAAAAAATCTGAGGGTTTAATGTCACTTTAATATCATTTTTTAATGATAAACAAATAAAAAGGAAAATAAGCACTGTGTTCCCCCCGCGCTCCGAGAGCTAACTATTCGGGCATACCATGCATGCAGGATGGTATCCCATAGAAGTAGATGGCAAACATGCAGCCCCCCTACTATGCTGATACCATCCCGTTCAGCAATGTGGCTGTGGGGTTCTCTCAAATATGGTGCCCAGAAGGGGATGCTGGCAAGGTGGGAAAGCTTATGAACTACCTATCTGCCCCCGGTCGGGGGCATGTTTGTTGTTACCCCTCTGTGATAAACTAATTTAGTGGGTCCCTCAGACCAATTCACTGTGCATGCAGGTAAGCAGTTAAAGCGAATCTTGCAGTAAAAAGCAAGGTCTGCTTATTACATCAGGCCCCCAATCCTATGGGAAATGCTGAAACATAGCTGTCAAAAATGTATGAACACAATAGAATACTACCCAAGTCCATAATCTCAAGGTGGTCTGAGACATAACCCCTATATACTAATACAACAAAATCACATTAATGTGTCAATGGGGTTTTAAGAGGCATCAGACTTGAATTTTTTTAAAATACTGTACACATTTTCAAAAAATTCAAGTCTGATGCCTCTTAAAACCCCATTGACACATTAATGTGATTTTGTTGTACAGCTGTAAAAAATGCTGAGGATCCCAAATCTCGCAGGAGACAAACATGTACAGTGGAGGAACCTCTTCTGGCTAGATAGGAATGCTCAATGTTCCCAGGATCTCACAGGAAGGATTGTGGCATCACCTTCCCGTGTGGAGGACGGGTGTAAGGTCAGTATCTTTACTGACTTTTCTCCACAGGTTTTATTTTCACAGCTATGAAGCGGAGTTTAGGGCCAGGGCAGCCTAATTTTCTAAGCAGACCTTGCTTTTGAGCATTGAGGATGTTTCCACTACTGACATGGTTTAACTGCCTAGGAAACTATGAGAAAAGAGTTCCACTGTGACATCACTACACATATATGGAGTTATACCACATATGGGGAGTGAAGTCACAGCGATATCCTTTCTCATAGTTTCCCCAGAGTTCCATGGACACTCAAAACTGTCAATAGTTAGAGCTTCCATGGTGCTCAAACCAAGTTTGAGCAGGGAGGAACAGGGCAACTGTGCTTATCCATCCTTTGAGCTCTGCCAGATGAGACGCCATGGGACACCTTTGGGTTTTGCAGGAACCTGGAAGGTAAATATTGGAAGGTAAATATTATTCAAAAGAAAGATTTATAAAATAATTTATTAAAAAATATACGCAGTGCACAGTGAACTAATTAGGGGCTGCTTAAAACCAATTCGCCATGGAAAGGGCAACCACCTACTTTCCCACCATGAATCAGGGTTGCTGAAAAATTGATTGGCATTGGGAGTGGGACCTCCCTTTTTTGCAGAACCCTGCATGCTCAGCAATCTTTTTTGCTAGGGGATACGAACACATATGCCTGGTGTAACTGGCATGTTAGTTCTGGTAGTTCAGTGCAGTCAGTCAGTGTTTTTTATTATAATTTTTTGTTTCTATTAGCTTTAAACTTATATACAACAGTATGCCACAAGGGATTGAGTGCATGCCCTATTGCGAATGGGGACTTAGGCTTCGAAAATTAAAGATAGAAGCTGATTGGTTTCCTTAAGCAACTGCCCTAGATTCTGCCTGCTCCATTTTTAAAGGGAATTTCTCTCAATGTATTTTTTTATAGAGCCTCAATCTGTCTTTACATTCACCTTCTGTAATCTCAGAAGCAGTGCATAACAGCATTTAAACTGTGAAAGAGATGGAAGCCAATCAGGCTTTACTACGTTTCACAGTTCTGGGAATGAAATTTAACAAAAATAAAAATCTTTGGACATGTGACTTAACCATATCCAGAACTGACACATAATGCATACTGTTTTACAGGTAAAATGGATGATGTATTGGATCGTATTTGCCTTTTTCACAACTGCGGAAACCTTAACTGATATTATCCTCTCTTGGTAAGTACCTGAATATTTAGCAAATATGAATAGATTGTTAGAGCAATAGATGAATGTACAAGCATTATGTTTTTGTTATCATTGATGGATTGCTTTTGGGCACAATTCACTCTGTGAGGTCATGTCAGCTAACTGGTTTCCATTCAACTTTCCAAGTTATCCATTATTGTTTGTTGGTTGAACTTAGAAAATCAATTAAGCACATTATCTTGACAGACAAATATGCTATTGATAGTTAGACAAGTACACTATTTTCCAGATATTAATGGTGGTGGAAAAAAAGCAAGGATTATTTATTTACTGTACATAGTGCTCTAAAGTTTTGTGGAATATTGGAAATAAAGAGTTTAACATTAGAACTGCAGAGGCAGTCCAGGTCAACTGAACTGTGACAGTTGCTAGCATGTGATCTGCCTAATCTCATTTACTGTCTCCCATCTTAGTAGTGTGCGTTGCATGAGGTTAGGCAGTTAACAGGTAGCTGGAAATTTTAATAATACACTGTGTTTGCCTAACTGATTATGAAACCTATATTTCTAGTACAAAAATAAACTAAAATTAATTTTAGTGCACACAAACACAATATACTCCCAAATTTGTTCCAAATAATAAAAGATGAGCCTGTGCTGAGTAAGTAGATATCAAATAGGTCAAGCCTTACAGTGAAGGTTAAGGGCCAAAGTCACCAGACCTCTTGAAATAAGGGCTAGATGCCAGGGGAAGTAAAGGTACAAAAAACATTATTCTGGAGTGCAGCACTTGCCATCTTTAAAGCCCCACTCCGGGCTGCTGTTAAATTTACCTTTGCAGTAGGACCCCCCTTCCCCACTGTATGGGTTAAATGCTCGTTTGACTGGGAAGGATGGGGTGGAGCAAGTAGAAATACTTAGTTTATTTCTCAGCGTAAGTAGAAATACCTTGAGTATATTCCTCGATCTCTGATATCATTGTGTGCAATGCAGGACCAGCAGTCCTACATTGTAAGCAAGTAGGGTGAGAGCCTGCCCACATTATGGAGCATTGGACAGCGGAGGAGAGTGTTGGGGGAAAAGGGTGAGTATTTGTACGTGTTCCTTCCACCCTAGTCAAAAGAGCATTTAACTCATGCAGTGTGGGACTGACCCTACTGCAGGGGTAAATTTAACAGCAGCCCGGACGTGGAGGTTAAGCCAAAGAAACTAAGGGTTTTTTTTGCCAGTAGAAATAAAACAATTTAATATCAGAAGCTGCAGGAAAAAACAAAGGCAGAGAGAGCCCAGAGCGTCTGTCAGCTCCATAATAGAAAGGCCCGTGTACAGCTGACTTACTAGTAAAGTCTGGATACCTTGTAAAATGTGGGCCTAGGAATGGAGGCTTCATCCCACCCAAAGCCCTACAAAGCTTCCGAGCTCCAGGACCCAGACAAGAACGTTTTAAGATTCTGAAAAAAGAAAGAGATTCCTTTCTGCAATAAAATGCTGGAGCATCTCACCATGTGTAAAATGTGCTGCAGTTCTTTGAAATATCTTCCTTTTCCTCCTGAGATTGTCACACGCAGTCTGTAAATAGCTACAGCATTGATGTCAATCCAGGCATGAAGCTGCATAATGCTCTAAAAGGTGCTAACTGGGTTTTCAGTCATGTGCTGGGTGTGAGAACTGTACGGTGCTGCAGTCAGCCATAACCAGCACTGTTGTTACAGCATTAATGTGACTTAGAAGGTGAATTTTATAGCATTCAGGTTTGTACAATCAGGTTTGCCTTTGAAAGGCTTGAAGTTTCCACCTTAATTCAGTACAGTACAATAAGTAAGTTTCAGCTTTTAAAGCATTAAAGGGAATGATCCCAAATGATACATAAAGCTTGTATTATTCAAAGAAATTGTCAGTTTAGTCAACCTTAACCCTGAACTCCAATCATACATTTAAAATGTTTTATTTATTCAGTTATATATAGATAGATTAAAATAAATGTATTTTACTTACAAATATAATATGTACATTAATCTACTTTGATATCAGCCTTCTGGGATTGATAGAGCTCCGAGTCAATCGGGGCTCTGTTGCTTTGCACGATCGCCCATTGCTTGGCGCTATAAGGCTGCCGTTACTATTCGGGTATTCTGACGGTGGCACAGTCACCACTATCAGAATACATTCATCCATCCATGCTGGGTTTTTTTCATGCACTCTGCAGGTGTATAGCCAGCTTAACAGTGAACATGGTTACAAGAGGGGGAGTAGAGGGAAACCTCATCCGTGTGCTGCTGCTCTTTTATTGCCCATTTAAAGGTTGGAGATGGCGAATTACAGGTGCCACTTTTTTCTTATAATCAGCAATCAGGTGTGTGAGTGCAATTACCATTGGTTCAAAGGGACAGGTTGTTGAGCTGCGCCACAGGAGGAAGATAGGATACATATATCGGGCACATGATTGAGATTTTGATATAAGATTTTTGCATAGCGTTATACTGTAAGCAAACCTGTCATGAAAAATTGCAAATATCGACCATACCAGACGGTTAATACATGTCTACTGCTGGACACCCCTTTGTTCCCTTTGTGTTAGACTGGCAATTTGCTGCTTAGACAATAAGCACTGCATTGTGGGATGACAGGAAGAGTGTATATAAGTATGCAACCCTTATAGCAATAGTGTGAGGATGGTTTGGCAGGCATAGCATATATTTACATTCTAGCAAATTTATCTTAGAATGTCCTATTTCCAGTGTAGATGGCTCTGTGCTCTCCCCTGGCTAATCCACAGCTGCCAGCACCATCTTTGTGGAAGCTTCTCCAGCTATTTTCCTTGTTTGTGAGTAGGTCAGCAAGTGATGATGCAACTCCCACACATACACTATCCCAACTCTTGGCTCCACTCTTTGGAATCTGCTCGATGCTGGGAGCTGCAGTGTTAGGTAAAACAAACTTAAAAGGAAAAGGATTTTTTTGGGGGGCAGAAGAGACATGTGAAGTCTCTTCTATCAAAAAACGATGCAAACTTTTGTTTTCAAACTACAGTTTTCCTTTTAAGCAAACCTGTGTTTTGCCCATTTAATACTCAACGCCTCCCCAACATATACTTTCCTTCACTCTCTGCTGGTCTGTTCAGCACTGATAACTGAAAGAAGTACCTGATACTTCTGGGTATGGAGGAGCATGTGGCCCACTCCTACTGGGCCAACCAGCATTGTCACACAGGAGGTCTATAACTCTTTGTAAGCTATGGCTCCAGAAACTCATAGCTGTCACATGACTTTACTGCTCTCCCAGAGCAGTGGTAGAGCAAAAAGAAATCTATGCTGTTTGGGAGTGCTAAATTAAAGTTAACCTGTTCCTTTGACATTCTCTTACTCATCAGACAGGACTCTGCCCTCTGACACATTTCACCCAACAGCCTTACTCATAGGATAACTTCCTGTGATCAAGCCCATAGGGTGAAATGTGTCGGGGGTGTGGGCAGTGGTGTATTCTGGTTTTTTGCTGCCCTAAGCAAGACTACACTCGGGCACAGCCCCAATTGAAATTTGCCCCACCCCTTCCTTTTTAAGACATTTTGTGTAACCTGTCAGTTGATGGATACAGTGCTGATAGTGTATCCAGCTTCTGAGAGGTTACTCTATTAGCGTAGCAGGAACCCCGCTGTGCATTTTGCTTATCCTGTCAGAGGCTGGATACAGCGAGCGTCTGTTTAAATAGTAACAGGCATGCGCTGTATCACTTCTGCCAGTGTTGGAGAGAGGAGGCTAAGCTCATCTGTAAATTCGGGTAAGGATAAAAATGTTTTCTCTTAATGGCCGCACTGGTTTGGGGCGGTGTTTTTTGCCCCCTTCCCCGGCAGTGAACCACGGCAAATGCAAAGTTTGCCTAGCGGTAGATACGGCTCTGGTGTGTGTGGAAACTTGTTCTCATTTTTAAACACACAATCAGGTTTGAGAAGAGTTAAAAAAAACTGACAAGATATTTCAAGCAAAGATAGATATGTTCATTTAGCCCCCCCAAAAATGAATACTATTCATTAATTATAGAAGTATGACCTCTAGTACATATTATATCTATATTAATACTACATTGCCTATCAAGGAGAAATAGTACTCATGCCAAACACAATGCCCCCATGTCACTTGGTGATATGTAACAAGATGTTTATGCCTTTATACAAGCCATCACCCCACATGGATTAGGATTAAGTGCACTGATTAATAATATCAATGCAAAATTGACTTTGGGGTCAAACTCGGTGGACAAGATCCGATCAATACTGAACTTGAGTTCCTTGCTGGTGGGGGCTGGCTGGGTGCTTCCATGGGGCCCCCTGTAGTTGGATGCCCGGCGGGGGTGAGGTTGGTGGTATGGGGACAGAAGAGAGATCCTGAATCCAGAGTCTGGGGTGACTGGTGTAGGTCTGAGGGGGGAACCTCCCCGTTGCCTGGTAGTAAGCCGGGTGCAGGATGCATTGCCCATGTGGGAGGATCCTGGGGGCTGTCAGGTCCCCCACATGGAGGATGTCAGTAATGTAGGAGAAAGGTTTCTTAGTGAGGTCCAGAGGTGGGAAGCCGAACAGTAGGCAGACCACAGGTTAAAGTGAGAAGTGGGATAGAAGGGGGCCAGCCTGGTAGTGTACATCGTACAGGCTAAACTCACAGGGGCCCCTCAGGCTGCAGGGCCAACACTCTGCCTGGATGAGGAGTTTCCACTCCTAGGTGCTGCTGTTTGTGTGTTCAGAGGAGGCAGGCGCAACACTGTGCACGCCACTCAACTCATTTGAAAGTTTGCAACTTCTTAGCTGTAGAAGAGTTTCTCCTCCTCCATATTTAGCTGGGGGCCCAGACTATGGGAGGCGACCTCTCCCCTACAGTGAGGCTTTGCTACAATTTTTATTGTAGCTTTTGACTCAAAAGTCTGCCATTGAAGCATTATAGTGTGTAAGCCCCAATGATGAACTTCCCTTATTTGCTTCCTTTTCATCTTTTAAATATACAGTTAAAGGCGTTTTGTTATATCTTTGTTATATCTGTTCAATAATTGAAAAAGATACCTGTTTATCCTGACAGACATCTAGTCCTGTCCTGTATACTCTGCAGTTTCCTCAAACAGTCTTCATCATTCTTGCCTAGGATACCTTTGTAAACTAAAACCCCCCCCCTGCTCTCATACACATAAAATGGGGGAGGGGTGTCCTGTAGTCCACAGAGGTAACCTGGGCAGGGATAATAAGACTGCTTAGGACAGGACTGCAGAACACACACCACTTCTGTAGTCCAAATCAGGAGAGCAGCCTAGGGTAATAAAGCTGCTCCCCATAGATACAGTAGAGCCAGCGAGTGTTGTCACCCTAGGACAGGAAGTGTGTTTCTGGAAGGATCACCAGGTGAAAAGTCACAAGGAAAAATTCTGTGAAAAAAAGAAAACTAATGCAACTACCATTTTTGTTCTTGAGTTAAGATGTGCTTTAGTGCATCATCATACTTTCTTGTATATCTAGCTAGAGATAGTGTACAGGAAATAAAATTAATTATTTCTCTGTTTGGCAAGTTCACACTACAGGTGTTAGGCTGTTTATTTTTCTACTTGGTTTTACTGTTGTGCCATTGTAAAATATGTTCTTGCTGTGGCTAATTTTAGCCTTTCTTTCTTTCAGGTTTCCTTTTTATTTTGAGTTAAAGATTGCTTTTGTTATTTGGCTTCTATCGCCTTATACTAAAGGCTCTAGTGTGCTGTATAGGAAATTTGTCCATCCAACACTTTCTAGTAAGGAAAAGGTAGGTATCTTGATTCATGTAGTCACTAACTTAACTTTTTATTGCATTCTGGTTGGTTGCTTTGGACTCTTGTTTTCAGTTTTCTATGTTCCATCTTTTATAAATCAGCCTCTGAATGATTGACCCCAATGTGTAAAAAACCTTCACTGAAGTGGGTATTTGATCCATACTGCATGTACACTGTATGAGGACTCTCTCCCTGACTCTATCACAGTCCTGTCACATGAAAGAAAGTGGAGTGAGTCATGTGCTGCTCAATGCTCCTTGTTCCATGTACCCTGATATAATAAATATATATACTGTATGGCCAAAAGTATGTGGACACCCCTACAAATTGTTAAGTTTAGGTGCACAAAGTCAGATCCATGATTTTGGTGAGCCCTGACCTCAGCCTTATTAAATATCTTTGGGATGTATTGGAAAGCCCATTGTGAGCAATGCCTTCTGGTTCAACCTCGGTACCTGAGCTCACAAATGCTCTTGTGGCCAGTGGCGGAACTACCGCCGGGGCACCTGGGCCTCTGGCTGTGGGGGGGCCCAGTGGGGTCCGGTCCTGGGCTCCCCCACAGCCTCAGTGGGGTCTGGTCCTGATTTTTTTGGCAGTGCACGGTCCCAGTGTTTGACGGGCTTCTCAGCGAGGGGGCGGGTCCTGTGACTCACCTCCCCTCCCGGCCGCGTCCTTAGTAACAGGCGGAGTCCGGTGGCAATGGTAAATATTGCCATTTTAATACTTACATATTGGGGAAAGTGTGCCATGATACAGGACCTACTTGTCTGCCATTTTTCCCCAGTGTTGACTGGAGCAGACAGGTTGATTAAATAGAAGCTTCCAAGGGTGAGGAACGTATTGCTGCTAGGATGGGGCCACCTTACACATATTTGCTTTGCTTCATGGTAGAAAAAAAACCCTGTTTATACTATCCACATTTCATCACTGTCTTAATATTAATACATTGCTTGTTTGAACCATGTTTCCTGTTAAGAGCAGAAAGCACAGTTGTATAGACTCCTCACCTGGACTGAAATAGCTTACTCTGATTTTACTGCACACTGAGCTTCATACAGTGTGCATTGGAAGCTGCAGCAAGTCAGATAAAGCCCGCCTCATTTCCAGACTAAAAGATTGCCACCACCGTCTAACCCTTTCCTCCCCAGCCTGACTGCCTATTCAATTCCATTGATTGGATTTCATTTCTTTCAATCATGGAGGCTCAGCATCACATGTGGGCCTTACCTAGGGAGGTCTGCATGCATCCAATTCTCCAGACTGACGCCGCCGTTGAAGGCATTTTAATATTTGCACAACACCTCCCAAAAGTCACCCCACTGTTTGCATTAGGGCCGGGGTCTCTTAAGAGTACTGAGGGCTGGATGTTATGTACAATACCCTGCTGCCCCCTCCCATGAGCCACAATTTGCCTGCATTGCATAGAGAGGCATATAGACCAATTTATTAGGTCACTGGGTTTAAAGTAAGGTATGTAATGAAAATATTTCATGTTCATGTTATTAAAGGGGGAAGCTTTAAATTCCAAATGCCATCACATTTTCATTCAAGCATGTGGCTTCTCCAAGAATACATAAGAAAACAGCCTACCATCCCAGCTTCTAAAAGCAGAATCAAATTCAACACTGCAGTTTAGCAAATAGGGGAATTGCTGTAAGCTGCTGTTCCTGGTAATAAGACAGTATTTATTACCAGTCTGGTAATGTAATGAATATATAGCAAACATCCCAATATGAAAAAGGATAAGCCAAATGTTAAATGCCTATTTTTATGGCCTTACAGGAAATTGATGAGTACATTGCCCAGGCAAGGGACAAGAGCTATGAAACAATGATGCGTGTTGGTAAAAGAGGCTTGAACATTGCTGCTAATGCTGCTGTCACTGCAGCTACCAAGGTAATAATACATTTAAAATACTGAAAGTTATAATGGCACTTAAATGTTTTATTTTCCCTTAAATAAATCATGTGAAGTCATGTCTAATCTTCTCTAACCGTGGTATACCTTGATGACTGCACTTTTATGTGACACTGCAGGGCTGGTTGAAGCAGCCTGCCAAAAGTCTGATCTTGCTTTATGTGTACCAAATGTCCTTTTGACAGTCTTTTTACAGTCAGTGAAATCATGATCAGTCATGTTGTACACATAGTAGCTCAGTAGGACACTGCTTCTCTGCTTTGGTGTGGGTCTGTATCCATATTTCTTAGATGGCAGGTGGTCATTAGGAAAAGATGATACATATGTACTTTCTTATTCTGTGAACATGGATGTGTTGTGATTTGTGGCAGTGGCACCACACTTATTCCTGTAGCAACATTTTATCATGTTGACACTTTTCCTGCCAAGAGAATTCCATGAGATCATCCGCACCAGTCATTGGTACACCCTGGATCACTTAAAGGAGAACTATGAGATGAGTGATTTCCACTCACCTCATAGTTCTAGCCGACCTGTAACAATGAGACTGTCACAGGTCGGCTCAGTAGATCGGGAGGTGAGCGAACACATACCGGGTTCGCTCACCTCTCGATCCTGTCACAGCTCTCTGCCGTGACAGGGGGAGGGGCTGGATTCCCCCCTCCCCTCCAGAGCTGACTGGCGGAACAGACGGGGGAGGGGGCGGGTACAGCTGGCTCTGCCTCTAGATAGGCAGAGCCAGCTGTCACTCACGCAGCTGGGCGGATCTCGACGTCGATGTCGGGATCCGCTCCAGCTGCGGCGTCTCAGTATAAGCTAGCTGTAACTCGCGGTATACGGAGCTTAGGGTAATGGTAGGACGCTAGTTTGTGTCCTCCCATTACCCTAAGGAGAACTATGGGGAAAAAACTGACCCCATAGTTCTCCTTTAATTGTCATATGATGCTATTGACATTTTAGGGATTGGATGAAGAGTCTTTTTTCTTTTATATCGGCACACCTTGGTTTAAAAGAAAAGCAGGGCAGTTAGGGAAGGTAATGGATTTAAACTGGTCACATATGCAATTGGAAATTTACAGCTGTTTATTTAGAAAAAAGGGGAGTGATTGTGTTTCACTCCTTGTTGCGCTCATATATTTATTGAAAGCTGAACTCTAGGAATAATCTATTTTTTAAATTTACATTGGCCAAGCAATCACTGTAGTAGTCTGTACGACATTCAGGAAGCACTTTCCGAAGGTGCTGGAGCAACTTCCCGTGTGGTACCCTGAACTCGCTCGGCACCTCCTCCATTCAGAAAATGTGTCGTATTCTTTAAAAATAGATTATTCCAGGAGTTTGACTTTAAATATTATAGATGGCCCAATAGGACAAAAAGAAAAGAAAAAAAATAAGTTGTATCCAGTTATGTTTGCATAGCGTATGCTAGTTTAAGGTGCTCTTTTTTAGTTCATGGCCAGATATTGATATGCACATTATAAAGGTGTAGCTGCTCACTGTGTCTTCTCTCTCAGGGTCAAGGAGTGTTGTCAGAGAAGTTGAGAAGTTTCAGCATGCAGGATTTGACTCTCATACAAGAAGATGACGCAGTGCATCTGCAGAGCCCTGAGCCTCGGTTACGCAGTGCCTCTACTGGGCTGGTGGAAAGCATTGTAGATCCAGGTAGAGACATAAAAATATTGCAGGCCTGTCATAACTCTTCTAAGGCCTTCTTCACATTGTCACACTGTCATGTTCCATAGCATTTCATAGTACTGCTGGTTTGATGGGCGTATTCCCTGAAAAATTTCTGTCAGGACGGCTTGGGGGCAGTGTGCAAAACTCTCTGTAGCAGCTGGCAGTGTCAATTGTGACAATATGTGTCAATGGTCATAACATGAAGTATGTATCAAGGACAGGTGGTTGGCAGGGTAGCTGTCAGCATAGGCAGTACACTACTAGGGAGCAGTGCTGGGGTAAAAGTAATGGTAACACTAATAATAACAACCATAACTATATTTTATATTATGATAAAATGATCAGTGCTCTTGCACACACACTCTGGGCTTGTTCACACCAGCTGCCACGCACAACTGCTGCTGGTGTGCCTGTGCCCAGATAGTAATGATGCGCTTGTTCAAGCCACATAGGAGTGTTTTGTTTTTTGTTAGAACTTTATTGAAATGTGGCAAGTGGCATTTCATTAAGTTCCATGGGCACACCGTGGTGTGTTGTGGTTGTACGCTTCTCAATGCGCTTAAAAAAGCACTGCAATTCCAGTTTATGACAAAGTGTTTTCAAAATAACACACCAAGTGCACATAATTTCCTCTGGAAGGACATTCATTATTGATTGTTGCAAATGTTTGTGCCGCCAATATTCTCTGGTTTGATAGTAATGTGAAGTTTGAAACTGTCAGACTCAAGCGGCTTTACGTAAAAGCTTTACACTTACAAATTTTTTAAATGTAAAAAAGTGTAACTTTGCACCTATGTGTGTGAATACATCTTCTTTCCCGTCCGGGTAAATGAATGATCCATATTTCATAATGGTGCTGTTACATGTTGAGTCTCAACGAAGAGCATATCTGATAGTAGTATTTGGGTGGATTGGGGGTGTTTTTTGCACAGCTTGGAATGGACCCAGGAAAACAAAAAATAATAAACTCCACTAAGAGGCTGGGAATTAAGTAGTCATTCCCTAATTTATAGTTTGAAATATTGTGATATGCCTCCCATATGTAATGCAGGTACTCAGAGTTCAATTTAGACACTTTCTTTTATTATAATCAGAGAGTTGACTGTCTTGTTTCTTCACTACCTTTCCAGTTCATAGTTGCACAGTTGTCCACATAGCCAAGTGAATAAATATATAGAAAATTCTAAATGATTGTACAGTAAATAAGGGTATCCTGCCTATCTCTTCTGTATGGTAGTATAACATGCAATACAAATGCTGAAGTGGAATAACTCATAACACCATGTGGGCCATTGAGGAGAAAGATGACATATGACTGATTCCCATTGGTAATGTGCTTAGTCCTTACATTTTCCACCTGTTTCCTGAACTGAAATCTGAAGGCTATCCTATGGGGTAATGTTTGGCAAGATTTTACAGCGCTCTGTTCTAAGTTAACAGTTAACCAGGGCTGGAATAAATTGTATCAGGACTTCAGCTAAGCAGTTTACAACAGCATGTTCTTTATATGTCAATATTTACTGTATATGTATGTTATAACAATACAATGTTTTTCTCCTTTTACGCTTTCATAAAAATCTGAGTAAGTTCACAATGTGCAGTGTTTTGTTGTGTTCTGTTGCATGATTTTAATTTTGGATTATCGAAAGTATATTTTAAAGTCATAATAAAAAGGATTGTATTACACAACACAGCTATTAATCCATTGAATAAATATGATCACAGTGTTTAATGTTCAATCTTTTCAACCCCTAAGTAAGCCCAAGGTAGTTTGTTTCATTTGTATTGTTGTTATTTTGTTAAGTAACAATTCTTCAGTTATACACAGCAACATCAGAAAGAAAGGGAAAATATAGTGGGAGGACAATGCAATGTATACTTTACACTTTAGCTGTGTCCTTTGGTGGAGAGAAAACTTTAACATTTATCGGTCAGCGATGTGCTACCATTACCTAAACACTTCCATTCCCAGCACATTGTTTTAATTTGGTTGGCCCCATAGGCTTCCATGAGGGTGACTATATTATTTCAGGAGGTGACAATGATTTACTAAAGGAGTAGAGTATGTTCACTTTCAAAGTGAATTCTCGCTTATTTTAGTGCATGAGGTGGAATTCACTTTGCAAATAATACTCTATCGTGTGCAAGGAAAATAAAGAAAACAGAAGTGTGCTTTGCCACCTCACTCAGCAAGCTAAGTAAAAATGTATTTCCTGCCACTATATTTTACCTTCTGCTCCCTGGAGTTCTTTAAAACTCTGTAATGTTTTAGAACAACTCTAATAAGAGTTCACAGGGGTAGCTGACTGTAATTTGTAAACATTCGTGTCTTCGCATTTTGGAATCTTGCCTGTTTAATGGTGTGATCCTGGGGACTGGGTGTTTTTATATTCCAGAGCAAACACACTGTTTACATACCAAATGTCAGTCCCAACATAGCTGTATATGGGCTACTTCCCAGGTGCACCAAACATGCCGCCATTCCAAATTGCAGGAGTCCAACAAGAGCCGCACTCCACAGGGATTCTACTGGAATAAAATTATTTATACAAACAAGGAGAGCTGTACACACAATTTTAATTCCCAACAGTGATCCTCAGCTGCTCATGTGTTTCACCCATTGGACTTCATCATGATTAATCCTAATCAATGATTAAGCCCAGTGGGTGAAACACATGAGAGGCTGAGGATCACTGTTGGGAATTGAAATTGTGTGTACGACTCTCCTTGTTTGTATAAATAATGATTTTATTCCAGTAGATTTCATATGGAGTACGGCTCTTGTTGTACTCTGGGTGTTTTTGTAATTTTACTTCTGAGAATCCATCAGGTAGTAAAGCTGCATTAACATAGTTTGGTGCTGTTCTTGCAAAATAGGCATCCACTATGCTTGTAACATTCTCCCCAATGCTACTCCTTAGACAGTAGCCACAATTTTTGTAAAGTTGTAAATATATATATATATATATATTGTGGCATTGTGAGGCAATACCACGGTGTTAGGAAATGCAAAAAGATGGATTCTGTACTCCACACTTACTCTCTTATACTCTTTATTTTTTCATCCAAAGCAATGTACAGCATATATACATATGCTGTATACTGCTTTGTACCAAAAAATAAAGACTATTAGAGAGCAAGATATGTGGAGTGCGGAATCCTTCTTTTTGGATTACATTTGTGTGGACAGAGTGCAGCCTCTCGGCTTTCCAGCAAGCCACTCTAGGTTTTATATATGTATATACAGTATACACTATACATATAGTGTATACTGTATATACATATATAAAACCCAGATTGGTTGTCATGCACGTCTGCTCCAGTTTTGATAAATTCCCTTCATGGTGTTTCATATCTACCTATACTTACACCTAAAATATTGCTTAACATATAACATCAGGTCATCTATTCTTTTACTGTTGTTTATTAGCATTTTCTGTTCTATTGCAAAGTCATATTTTTGCCATTTACAGCTGCCCATATTTTCTGCACAGTCATGATTTCACAGATGGTACAGTGACGTAAGTCAGATCTAAACTGTTTCCCTGGTTTCTGCTTTATAAATTAGCTTTTGTGTGGGTATGCATCTAATTCACCATTGACCTTTAAATGGAATTTAGAGGCCGGTGACTTCCATTTGTAACCTTCATTTCCATTTAGTGTCCTTAGATAGTCATCGCAGCTACATATGTTGCTCCCCCTTTTACAATGTTTCATTGACTAATTGATAAGTTCATTACCAACAAACTTATTTAAAAAAAGACATTGAAGATCAATGATGTGCGAAGTGCAGTGATTCAAAATGACCAATCCAAAATTCTTTCACTGGTGTGATCACATCTAAAGTATAAATACTTGTTTTGGGCTACCACACTATACCCTTCATTGCTCTTCACACTAAATAGCGGAATAAGTAAGCACTGCACTTAATTCATTATGCTTCTGTTGTATAGCTTCTACTACTTGTCCAGCTTCTGAAGACCAAAAGCATAGTGTGAAGTCAGAAGGGGAACAGCCCGATGTCAAAACTGAACCGTCCGATGAAGATGCCACTGAAAAAGTGCCGAAACGGACAGCAAGTGTCAAGAGTGTTAAAAAGGTTATAAAAGTGGAGGTATGTTTTATTATACCTAACATTTCCCAAACACATTCTCAGAAATGTAGTTCAAGTCTCTGGCTATAGATGCACATTTAAAACTCGGAGTTAGGAGAATCCACAAGCTTACTAACGTGGAGGCATTTTAGGCATGTTATCAAGTTGCAGCTTATCACACCCGTGGCTGACACAGGTAACATCAAGGACTCTTCTTGTCAGAGGACTCAAGAAAGCATATTGGTGACTATCAGTGAAGTACAGTAAAAGCACTGGGAGTAAGGCCGGTTTTCGCTAACAATTCAGTTTTGGCAGAAAATATAAGGGGATAACTGAGAGGTGGTCTGGTCCAAGCTCATAAAAATTAAGATTTCCACATGTATTTCAAATATTCTTATTTATTTCAGGTTCTTGCCTGTAGCTCAGCCATAAAATATCTCCCTTATTAGGAATACCTAATACCTGTCACTCCTAAATCCAACATACACTTCAAGATAACACTGGGGGTTAACCAGACAGTAATTCAAAGGACAAAAGGATATTTGTCTCAGAATTATCTCTGAAAACAAACAATTATGAGATCAGTAGCTTCTGGAGCTGTGATATTGGTGCTGCAGGACTGTACAGAGAAGAGTAAGCAGTAATGCAGAAGGTGTTTCTTAGTGTTAAGAATTAGTTTATGGATTTATGTTAGTGTTAGGCTCAGAAGTTGAGAGTAAAGATTCATTTTTTTATTTTTTTTTAAGAGGTGGGGTAGTTGGGGTGAGGGTTAAGTTTTAAAGGCTTACTTTAGGGGATAGGTTAGGTATTAGGGTTTAGGAGTTTTGTAAAGTGTCCGGTATTAACTGTGATGTTAAGAGTTAAATGTGGAGGACACATTGGTTAAAGTGTTAGACTGTGGAACCTACGTCAAAAAATTGCTTGCTTCATAGGATCTTTAAGTGACGCTGTCTCCTTGAGCTTGCACTGGATGTCTTCATCAAGGACACCACAGGCAATGAAAGCACCATGGCGAAAGAAGCCTAAGGTTCAGTTTGGAAGGGCTCACTCTTTCCTGGAGGTCAAGAAAAATCCTTTTTATTACTCCATGTTGACCAACTCCACATTCTTACCTAAGCCTGGCTGCCTGTCCATCCAGCAAGACTCCAAATCTTCTAATCCTTCAGACAAATCTTCTCCCACATGAAGGTGTGCCCCCATTTTCCAAATTAGGGCAATGTCTGTTAGGCTTTGCAGACACCTGGACAGTCTACATCTTACAGTAGATTCTTGGGTTTGAGAGGTGGTTTCCATGGGCTACAAGCTAGAGTTTTGCTCCCAGCTCCTCCTCGGTTGCTTACTTTCTACCATCCTTTTTCACTGCAAAGATTAGTGTGCCATCAGCCTATTTTCTGTGGCAGAACAGTTTTAGGGGCTTTATACCAACCTTTTCACTGTACCAAATCAAAAAGGGGGGTATCTGCTTCATCTTGGATTCTAAAGCTCTTAATGTCCTAATTCAAGCTCAGAAATTCTGTGTGGAATACGCCAGGTCTTTCATCGCCTACCTTCACCAGGGAGGGTCGCTAGTGTATTTTTTCCTAGGAGAAACTTCAAACTCTCCTCTCCCAGACTCATACTCTTCAGTCCAGGAGTCGCCTGACGGTTCGCTTCTGTATGAGAATCTTGAGACTGATGGGAGACCGCTTGAGGGCAGTCCCACGTGTAGCCCAATGTTACTCCAGACTCCATAAACACCATATACTATTGTTGCGGGACAGGTCAGCCCAATCTTTGCTCAGACTGCTTCATCTGGTGATGAAGACCAGGTTGTCCCTGGCTTTGTAGCTCAAAAATCTGTACCTAGAGTCTGGAAAGTTCTTCCTTCCCATCTTTTGGAAGATGCTCATGATGAATGCTGGCTTTTTGGGCTGGGGAGGAGTCCTGAGCAGCCTATTGTTACAGGGGACTTGGACACTGAAGCAATCCTATCTCCAGATCAACATCTAGCTTTAGGTGATTCGGCAGTCCCTGCAGCGCTGGACCACCTAGCAGGAGGTTCATCTAAATTGCATTCAATAAGATAACACCACAGTAGTGGCATACATAGTCCTTCAGGGAGGAACTAAAAGTATCTTGCATCAAGAGAGGTAGAGTGGATCCTGTCCTAGGCGAAATTTCTTGTTCCAGCCTTTTTCATTGTTTACATCTCAGGCATACACTATTGATGGCAGACTTCCTCAGCCGGCAGCTTCTGACCCTGGGATGGTAGTCCCTAAACCCGGAGGTCTTCCAGGATCTGTGTCTGGGTAGAGTATGCCACATATGGACCTCTTGCACCCTAAATAAAGCAACAAACTGGACAGGTTTGTCTCCAGGTACAGAGATTCTTTAGTGGAAGCAGTGTATTCTCTGGATGGCTCCCTTAGATCAGTGCACCTTGGTCTAATCTTTTCCTCCACTAAGAATTTATTTTTCTGCTTTCCAGAATCGAGACATAGTTCATTCTAGTGATCCTTGTAGCTTCACATTAGCCCAGGTAGATGTGTTACTCCAACCTGACAAGATTCCTGTCAGATTTTGAGTTCTGTCGGTGTCCCTGTTACAGTTTTCCCCCAAAATTCTGTTTAGTAAAGCTGTTGTCACCAGAACAAGAAGTGAGGGAAAATATCTCCAATGGAGCCCCAAAAAGCAGTAAAAGTCCAACAGGAGTTCTAATCCTACCCTAAAGTATCTAAATCTATTGACACTACATAAACTTTAAATATAGAAATAGTAAAATGATAAGTACAACTCCTAAATTAGACTTATCACAATGCCATACCATAAGCTTTTAATACAAAATTAAAAAAAAACTCTTTAACTAATAGAAAACAATTTTTGCTACAATTAAGTTTTCCCTGTTTTCTGGTATTTGTTCAGCCGTCTGGTATATATTAGTATGTTGTGTTGTGTGTCTGTATAAACCTTTAACATTGACCTTGTTCCAGCCACAGAACAAGAATCTCAAGGCTCGTCCCAAGAAGAAACCCACTGGAACCACTGTGCCTGGAGAATCAGCATGAAGCCTTGTCTTTCTTTTCAGAATATAAGTTACACACTGCTCATCTGAAGCTCCTTGGAGGACTTCGTGCTACAATAGTGACAAGTACCACTAGTCAATGGATCACTCCTCGTCTGGGGATGAGTATTTGCAGAAAAACGTGTGTATTAAAATTATATAGGCAAATATTCTACTGGGCCGCTCTGACGTGTGGAACATGTTTAAAGTTGTTCACGCACACTGACTTTTAAATAAACAAAAACTCGATAACAGTAATAAGGGAATTGAAACATAAAGAAAGGCTTACTTCTTTTGTGTCTGATATGTCTGGACTGTTGCTGAGTTACTGTCAACCAGCTCTATGGTAAAGGCTGAACCTAGGTGCTCAGTCTTCTGCTAATGGTTTTAGTTAACAGTGGCCTCACTAGTGCAAATAATATGTACTTACCTTTTTATTTATTTGATGACAGCCTTTTTTTTTTTTCCTAATTTCATTTATCCTGGTTATACCGTAAAGCTTGTAGCACACTTAATGATTGTAGTATAGATGGGACTTGGTCACTGCAATGCACTTTGGCAGCTATATACACTATATAATAGTACACAGTAATGCTTACTATATAGTTTGACATGAGCTGGCTTATGGACCCTTTCATATGTCAAAGTGTGACCCATAGGCACAATGTATATAATAGCACCATGGGCTGTACTGCCAATATGACAGATATATTAGAATAACATAATTAGGAGGGAGATTTGAGTTTGAGGTGGTCTGTACTAAAGGTAAGCAAAATGAGTCACATGATCACAATTTAGTATTATGGTTAGATTTATATCTGACTCACGGGTACTTGGAACATCTCTACCAGTTAGAGATTTCTCATATTGCTACGCTACAGCTAATTCTTCTTAGAAATTTAGAGAATGTAAAGTGGTGCAGTTTACCTATCTCTGAACTTAGAAGTCTATGGTGAGGACTGGTATGGGAGGTAGGATGCAAAACCTGCAAGCCACTTGCAAGCCAGTTGTTCTTAACAACTTATGTCTGACATAGAACGGGAGAATGGGCCTAGATCTGTGCTGAAATACAGCATCACCTACATATATAGCCAATTCTTGCCATTGAACTGTAAAAGTATGATATGACAGATGTCACTACATTATGCCTAGGAAGAAATCAGTTATAGCCTTGATTATATTAAAGAAGACTAATGCTAGCCAATCACCTGAAATTCAAACTATGGGTGGCCGTGGCATCACCACCCAACCTAACAAACTTTGATTACAAAATTGAAGGAGAGTGGTGTAAAATTGTCGGCACCTTTTTAGTCACTGTTTTGGGTATTCAGGCAGCCGCAGGCATTGGCTGTCTGAAATCAATACCAGGCAGGTGGAAAATCCTCCATTCATGCTGTTTAGTGTGTATGGGGAAATCAAGTCATTTCTCTAGTTCAGCTAACCATGTATGGCTAGCTTTAGGCTGGTAAACTACTGTGTCATTGCTTGCTACTTACTGTATGCATTATCAGATAAGTGGCTTGTGATGTTGCGGAATTGGCCTTCTAGATCTGTTTAATCCCCCCCTCCTTGCTGGCTTCAAGTAATCACACCATAAGTGGGAAAAGGATTTTACGCGGGTGGAAAAATAAGCAGAGTGTGCAAATATCCTGCTTTTTGGCTTAGGTTTATTTCTCAGGCTGTGAACAGGTCTCTTACTAGAGGGATTTAATGGCTTGTAGCTTTAATCAGAAATGATAGAAAAGCCTGTGCTAGAATGGAAAGTAAACATAAAGTAACAGTTTAATGTAAAGGCAAAATGTAAACACATACTTACTAATTCAGTTTTTCATCTAGACATTGCTGTCGTACATCAGACTACCTCATTCTTTGGTATCTGAACCTGCTTGTTACAGAGGCAATTTATTTCCAAACACACCCACAGCAGGCTCCTTCTCATCTCACACCTAATATAAAAAGTTCACTATTTTGAGGTTTTCCACAGCCTCCAAATAGAATTCAAACCTGCCTTGAAAGACTGAAAGTGATTGGGGACACAGAAAGGAGAGCAAGAGAGGAGGTTTACTGGTACAGCCTTCAGTAAGTTGACTTCTAGGGAGGTGGTCTCTGGATTGTAGCTGCAGTGGAATACACTGAGCTCAGATTAAGGTAAATTGAATCGTTTCTAATTTTAGCAGTGTAACTGATGGGATTAATTGTGCCTGGAATTGCTCTGGATTTTAGCTCCGTATTCCCAGTCTAGCTTTTGACACATTTTAGATGCCAAACCTAAAATAGCCTGCCAGTCTTTATTTGTTCCTATAAGACATAACGCTGTCACTAGAAATGAAACATCACAGGGCAGAAGCACATCCTTCTTCTGTGTAGTTAAAATGTCTGCAAACCTAAAAAATGATTGCAGGAAAGTATTTTACTTATTCAAGTATTCATTACAAAGCAGTATACACTGGGTTAGAGAGGTTTTAACAACCAACAAATTAAAGTTAAATCCTAAAAATGCATTCCAGTACCTTAACTAATAACAGAAATGTATCTTATTTGTGTATCACTTGGTAGTAGATCCTCAAATCATCTCTGAATTGGTACTGACACTGTCCTTCCTTCTGGAGAGTGGCTACTTTTGTTCCCCATGGTCCCTGTGTGTGTTGTAAAGTAGCCACAACTCCAAGCTCATGCCTGTGATGGACTACAATCTTTAACAGTACACATTAGTAAACTAAATGTGAGATTGTAGTCCATCACAGGAGAAAGCTTGGAGTGGTTACTTTACAACAGACAGGGACCATGGGGGACAAAAGTAGCCGCCCTCCAGAAGGAAGGACAGTGTCAGCACCGATTCATAGATGATTTGAGGATCTGCAGCTGAGTGATACACAAATAAGTTACATTGAGGGGAATTTATCAAAACTGGAGCAAACAAAATCTGGAGCAGCTGTGCAAGGCAACCAATCAGCTTCTCTCTTTTATTTTCAAATCTTAACTGAACAGACTGAAGGGAGAAGCTGATTGGTTGCCGTGCACTGTTGCTCCAGATTCTTCTGTTCCAGTTTTGATAAACCCACCCCCCCTGTACTTTGTACCTTGTTGAAAAAACCCCCCCCCCCCCCCCATTTTTGTTAATAGTTATGGTACTTGAATGCATTTTTAAGATTTAACTCCTGAGTTTAGTGCCACATTAAAATCACTTATAGAAGATTCCAAAGGGTCAGTAATAAAGGGACTTTTCTCATAATAAAACCAGCTAGTTATATAGGCACCTTACAATTGGTAGGCTTGTTTTCTGGCAACAGCACTGTCGTCAACACTACCAAAAAAAACGTACCAAAAGCCTCTAATTATAAGCCTCTAATATTCTTGCAGAAAACATGAGTACAATGCTGCACATAAAAGTCAAGTTAGACCTAGTTTATTCTTCCAATGTGGTCTCTGAGTGCTTCCTGTTCACCAAGGGTACTCTACTGACCCACTTTGACATATAAAAAAAAACCAAATGAACAAATCTTGTGGGACACCATTAGTAACCATTTATATTTGGATATTCATACTTCGCGTGACTTGGCCTTGGTGGCAGCAGGCAGGCAGAAAATATAAGTAGCTAATTCAAAACAAACAATGATTTTAGAGAATAACTAATTTATTCAACACTAATTAGTACAATTTGACTTATACAATAATTACTTTGTAAAAGAGACCTCGTTGAAAAGCCTTAATATACCTGTAGTGCGTTTTACTATGATTATACTTACAAACCACATGCAGATACAAACGATAGTACAAATAACAGTTGATTTGCAATACAGTTAAAGTAGAACTCCAACCCTTTTCCCTATTTTTGGATAGAGGGGAAAAGGTTAGATTCCCGTCACATTTTTATTGCTGGTTTCTGGATGCAATGATGTTGAGACTTTCTTACTTCCTGTAAGAGAGGTTCTATCCCTTTCCGAGTCTCTCCAAATGAACAGAAATGGCTGGAGTTCCACTTTCTTTTATTAATTGGATTTTGTAGGACCTATAAGGGGTTTATAATAACAAAGTGTCAAAAGCAGCAGTGTGCAGTAACCCATAACAACCTATAACAGAACAGCTTTTAAGATTACATCACAACTGTTGATAGCTGACATCTGATTGGCGCTTTAGGTTACGGCTTACCATGGCTTAGCATTGTCTTGTTAAATGAACCCCATGATGAAGCTGGCCTGGGAAACTGCACTGTGAATAGCCTTATGTTTACAGAATACGTATATAGATAATCTACACAAACAATCACAACTTTCCTTTTTCTTCATTGCTCAGTTGTCAGCGGGGCAGTGCTTGTCTTTCTGCTCTGTGCTTGTTAGGAGACGGAACAAATGTAACTTTAATAAGAGAGGGATGCTGTAACATAGTTTGGGGTAATCTGTGAAAGATTAAGAGGAGATAACAGGTTTGATCACTACTGATTTTAGATTTGATTTGTACTTTTGATTGTATTAAATTATTTGACTTTGTATTTATTTTAATGTATATTTTTGTTAGCATTATTTTAACTGCTCTTTGGGTTGCTAATACTTTTTTTTTTTTTTTTTAAAAACCAGGGAAAGAAAAAAAAA